ATCCCATCAAAAACAGGCCTAAGAACATGAATAGACAATTTGCAAAAGAAGATACACAAATGGCCAATAAACATATGAAAAAATGCTCATCATCACTAATGATGGGGAAATACAAATCAAACCACAATGCAATACCATGTCACAACAGAAACAATAAATGTTGGCATGGATGTGGTAAAAAGGCAACACTTCTAGACTGTTGGTGGGCATGTAAACTAGTACAGTGACTATGAAAAACAGTGTGAAGTTTCCTTAAAATACTAAAAGTTGATTTACCATTTGATCTAGTAATCTGCCTCCTGGGTATCTACCCAGAGGAAAAGAAGTCATCATACGAAAAGATACCCGCACAGGCATGTTTATAGCAGCACAATTTGCAATAGCAAAAATGTGGGACCAGCGCAAATGCCCATCACTCAAATGGATAAATAAAATGTGGCATATATATACCATGGAATACAACTCAGCCATTAAAAGGAACAAAATAATGGCATTTGCAGCAACCTGGAAAGAATTGGAGACCATTATCCTAAGTGAAGTAAATAACTCAGGAATGGAAAACCAAACATCATATATTCTCATTCATAAGTGGAGGCTGAGCTATGAGGATGTAAAGGTATTAGAATGGCACAATTAAATTTGGGAACACAGGGAAAAGGATGCGGGGGGTGAGGGATAAAAGACTACACATTGGGTACTGTGCACACTGCGAGGGTGATGGGTACACCAAAACCTCAGAAATCACTGAAGAAGCTATTTGTGAACCAAATACTGCCTGTTCCCCCGAAAACCTATTGAAATAAAAAATAATAATAGAATTATGTCAACACAGAGAAAAATGTGGCCATGGGTTTCTTCTTGCATATATATGTATAAAAATTATTGATGTTTGTTGCAATCTTGTAAATAAACATACCAATGTTTTGGGTCAAATATTCAAAGCAATACAATAATGTTAAGCCTTTTTCATGAATTTTAAATGTCAGCTAAGGAATTGAAATCAGGCTATTTCATAACTTATCCTTCATAAATTCTCATATATGAAGCACATTCTGATATTTGTGAGAATTAAATGAGTTATCACATAAGAAATAGTTGGAACTGTATTTGGCACATAACATTCTATACAGTTAACTTGTTAAAAATGCATAGCTGCATGACAAATAGTGCTAAGTTCGCTGTAACTAGGTACGTAGTGAATATTTGGATCTGAGCACTGTGTTAGGATTGGAGATTTTTCTAAAGATAATCTTTTGAAAGATAATTTTTGCTCTACTTTATTCTGGGGTAGTTTTAAGGTAGCTCTACTTTATTTCACAATGGTTGATTATGTGAAATTTGTAGATTTTTCTGTATGAAAGAAAATAAAGAAAAATGACAAAAGGATCATCCTTAAACCATGTTTATGGTAAATGTAAATCTAATTGTGTTGTTTTTTCCCCCTGGTGAATTTTTGTAGAGTTATCCTATTGTGACAGAAAGAAAAAGTAGAAATATTATATTACCTTAGTTTAATGGCTACAGCAAAATGATGAAAATAATGACTACAAAAAATGATGAAAATAAAATAAAGTAATTTGAAATTAGAAAAACTGAAAAAAGAAATGGTGATGAGTTAAAGGAAACCAAAATGGTTTAATGTTTTTATCCAAAATTATTTAGTTGCTTTAAATATGTATAAATATACAATGTAAACCTTACAAATACGTTTCATTCAAAACCTTTGAAGAGAAAAGTAGAAGGAAGAATATTTCATACTGAAAATGTTCCTACTCAGCAGAACCTATATCTTAGTTAATATTCTGTTAATAAAAACTTAGTCTTATATTCAAATTCCCTTTGCATGAGAAAGACTCCACACCTTTACTTGATAAGGACCATTGTTAATGTAGTGAGTGACAATAAGACTTCTGACATAATGCCACTTATTTAAGCTGTACAATAACAGATCTAGTAGGTAAAACGACCCTGTCTGGTCTCAAGAATTTCTTGACTTGCAGAACACTGTAGAGATTCAAGTATAGATAACTTACAATTTTCTTTCTTAAGAACTTCATACAATACTCATCAAAACTGTTAGGATTTCAATTGTGTCCCCCTTCCTCCCTCAAAAAAAATGTTGAAATTCTAACCCCTAGTATCTCAATCAGAATATGACATTGTTTAAAAATGGTGCCCTAGCAGTAGATTTAATTCGTAAGATGAGCTGATTAATTGGGTGTGTTCCTAACCCAGTATGTCTGATGTCTAAAAGAAGACTGCCCTGGTCCAGTGCGGTGGCTCACGCCTGTGATTTCAGCAATTTGGGAGACTGAGGTGGGTGGATCACCCGAGATCAGGAGTTGGAGACCAGCCTGGCCAACATAGTGAAACCCTATCTCTACTAAAAATACAAAAACTTATCTGGGCATGGTGGTGGATGCCTGTAATGCCAACTACTTCGGAGGCTGAGGCAGAAGAATCGCTTGAACCCGGGAGGAGGAGGTTGCAGTGAGCTTAGATTGAGCCATTGCACTCCAGCCTGGGCAACAAGAGGAAGACTCCATCTCAAAAAAAAAAAAAAAAAAAGAAGAAGAAGAAGAAGATGAAAAAGACTGCCCTGTGGAGATATGAAGACACACAGGGAGAATGCCATGTGGCAACAAAGGCAAAAATTGGAGTGTGGCTGCAAGTCAAGGAACGCTAAAGATTGCTTGCAGATCGCTGGAAGTTAGGAATAGACGAGGAAGGATTTCCCTATAGCTTTCAGAGGCATGGAGCCCTGAGACAACTTTGATTTTGTTCTTCTAGCCTCCAGAACTGTCAGCTAGTAAATTTCTGTTTTGTAAAGCCACCCTATTTGTGGCTACTTTATTACAACAGCCCTAGGAAGGTCATACAAAGACCTAAGGGATTTGTCAGCTACAGTCTCTGTATATGTAAACATTTCTTTCTACATATGTGGTGCAAGTTATTTGCTCATTGCATCTCTCCTTCCTTAATTTATTCTTTAGGGAACTACGTCCTAGTCTGATATAAAGTTACTTAGTTTGATTCTAGATTTTATTCCACTCTATTATAAATGTGACCTTAATTAACCTTCTTAAAATGCATTGACTTTCAAGGACAGCTTCCTTGAAAACAATGCTACAATGCTATTCAATTACTAAAGTAATATCATTTCATAAAGCTATTCATAGAAATGGCCCTTGAATATTAAAAGCTTCCATCATTTGGAACTTATGTAAACATTGTAATACAAATATAACTGATCTTGGCTTACAAAAATTCTGTAAGGTAGAATAGAAAGCTGCCTTTTGAATGCTGTTCATAGATAATGTGATACAATTATAACATAAAAAGAGTATAATTAAGAATAACATTCAAAGCTTAAATTTAGAGAATTCTAAATGTATTTTCTTGAAATTAGCAGATTATCTTTACGATAAGGCTTGTTGATTCTACTGCAAATAAATTGAGAATGTATGTAGACATGTTTATTTTATATTCATACAATGTTCTAAATACCTATTTCCTCTATGTTGAAAATTTGACACAGTATAATTCAGGTCTTAATTTTTTAACACAAATTATGTTAAAAAGTCATTTACAGTACTGCTAAGAAAAAAGATTTAAAGTACTTGAGATTAAATTGTTTTGTTCGCTCACAGTCTACAAATGTACAGTTAGTAGCACTAATAATAGGCTTTTATTAAACAAATATGTGTCACCTTTCTGTTAGAAGGGCTATCTATAAAGCTAAAATTACTACTCATATTTCTAAAGCAAATGTTAAGGAATGGTTTACATAAATGAAGGTACATATGCCAAACATGTCTTATTCAGTATCTGAATATTTTAGCTGCTATTTTCCTCGGTGGAATTTAAATCAAAATAAGAATAGCTTGACCAAATGCAAAGAAAATTACTTAATTTAGCATAGCATTTTAGATCCTGCTATTAGGTAAAAAAATTTTTATAGTTTTTATATCATACAATTATCTAGAAAAATAAAAATAAAGCACTACAAATATATTATTAATATTAACATGCATATTTTCAGAATGACCTTTGAGATATAAACATGTATTTGTTTCTTGCAAATATGAAAGTAATACCCTGTATGTTAATCATTATAAATAAAAAAGATCTTTAAAAAAATTACCCATAAATTCACCTAAAAGAGATCAACACTGTTCATCTAATCAAAGTATGTTTTGTCAAGGTCCTATATTATTAAACATTTTTGTACTATATGCTTATCACCGGTTGTTTTTAATCATGGGGATGACTCAGGATTTGTATCTATTATTGGTGTTTAATTGTTGCCCGTGTTTTATTGCAACAAATGTTTCTGTTATGAACATATATATACATATATATGTGTAAATATTTGGGGACAGTGAGATTAACTTTCAGAAGAAGGATTAAGGATCAAAGAGCATAAAATTATTGCTACGTTGTCTTCTGGAAAGAAGCTTCCAATTTATAGTGAAGAATGTCCTATTAAAAGTAAAATAACACATTATAGATATTGGCTTGAAGTTTTCTTTTTTTGTGGTATCTCTGCCAGTTTTTGGTATAAGGATGATGCTGGCTTCATAAAGTTAGGGAAGAGTCTATCCTTTGAAATTTTTTTGAATAGTTTCAGTAGGAATGGTACTAACTCTTCTAGGTACATCTGGTAGAATTCAGCTGTGATTCCATCTGGTCCTGGGTTTTTTTTAGTTGGTAGGCTATTTATTACTGCCTCAATTTCAGGACTAGTTATTGGTCTTGTGGGGATTCAATTTCTTCCTGGTTCAATCTTGGAAGGGTGAATGTGTCCAGAAATTTATCAATTTCTTCTAGATTTTCTAGTTTACGTGCCTAGAGGAGTTTGTAATATTCTCTGATGGTTGTTTGGTATTTCTGTGGAGTCAGTGGTAGTATCTCCCTTATCATTTCTGATTGTGTTTATTAGAATCTGCTCTTTTCTTCTTTATTAGTCTAGATAGTGGTCCCTATTTTTAATTTTTTTAAAAAATGAGCTTCTGGATTCATTCATCTCAGAATACTTGTTTGTGTCTCTGCCTCCTTCAATTCTGCCCTGATTTGGGTTATTTCTTGTCTTCTGCTAGCTTTGAGGTTCGTTTGCTCTTGGTTCTTTAGTTTTTTCGTTGTTATATTAGTGTTACAGTCTAATCACTCTTCAACTAGGTCTATGTTCTTGTCCCATGATCAAGCACAAGACAGGCAGACACCAGAGAGGGAATGTAGAGCCGAGTTTTATTACACAACAGAAAAGCTCTCAGCAAAGAGAGGGGACCCGAGAAGGTTGCCAGAAATGGGTCTGAGTTCTGGGGATTTTATGTGGCAAAGACAAGGGAATCTTCGGTGGGTTCTTCCCAAATTGGGGGGGGGGCAAAGATCCCCCTGTGGGTACTCCGTCTGCTCATGCCTGAGGTTGGCCATAGTGACTCCATCTTGGTTATCATCCATGAGTGCCTAAGTGAAACTCATAGAGGGAAACTAAGACAGCAATGCTAATGTTATGTTAATGACATTATAAGGAGCTGGGTTAAGTTAAGGACATTTAAATTGATTTATTGCACCTGTGCCTAAGGCTGGGACAGTCCCTTCTGAACAACATCCTGGCATTAGAGGAAGTTCCTAACCACATGTCTTTCCACTAGCTATAGGGGCTGTGCAAGTGTGATCCCATGGGTACTTTTCTACCCCTAAGATTCTCCCTCTCTATCTGCCTGGCCAGCTTCTAACTGCCTCCTCTCTCATTAGGTTGCTAACTTGAGACCATTCTACGGTTTTGATGTGGACATTTAGTGCTATAAATTTCCCTTTTAACACTGCCTTAGCTATGTCCCAGAGATTCTGGCACATTGTATATTTGCTCTCATTAGTTTCAAAAAACTTCATAATATCTGCCTTAATTTAATTATTTACTTAAAAGTCATTCAGAAGCAGGTTATTCAATTTCCATGAAATTGTATGGCTTTGAGTGAATTTTTTAGTCTTGAGTTCTAATTTGTGGTCTGAGCAACTGTTTGTTATAATTTTAGTTATTTTGCATTTCCTGAGGAGGGTTTTAATTCTGATTATGTGATCAATTTCAGAGTAAGTGCCATGTGTTGATGAAAATATAGCTAGAGAAATGCAAATCAAGAACACAGTGAGATACCATTTTATATCAGTCAGAATGCCTATGATATGGTTTAGCTGTGTTCCCACCTAAATTTCATCGTGAATTCTAGTTTTCATAATTCCCACGTAGTCCTGGGAGGGACCCAGTGGGAGGTAATTGAATCATAGGAGCAGTTACCCTTATGCTGGTCTCCTAATAGTGAGTGAGTTCTCACAAGATCTGACTGTTTTAGAAGGGGCTTTTTCCCACTTCACTCATTCTGTTCCTTCCTTCCATCATGTAAAGAAGGATGGTTTTGCTTTCCCTTCCACCATGATTTTTAGCTTCCTGAAGCCTCCCTAGCCATGATGAACTGTGAGTCAATTAAAAGTCTATCCTTTATAAATTACACAATTTCAGGTATGTCTCTATTAGCAGCATGAGAATGGACTAATGCAGTAAGTTAGTGCCAAGTAGTGGGGTGTTGTTGAAAATGTGGGAGTGACTTTGGAACTGGGTAATAGTAAGGGACTGTGTTAGAGGAGCTCCCCGGTGGGTTAGGGGCTTTGTTTCCAGTTTTCCTCCTTCTGCCCCCTGGAAGCCAAGGCTCAGTGACTCAGGGTTTTAAAACAGTAACCAATCTGGCAAAGGACTCAAAGATCAATTAATCCAGAGAAAATTTGAATAAAATCCTCTCATTGGACGAGAACAAGCACGGGGAGGGAATAACTCAGGGATATAATCTCCAGTCGCTCAAGCTTGCAGTGGCACCCCCTCCAAGTCCCCTTCCACAATGTGGAAGCTGTCCTTCTAAACCACACTACCGCACACCACAAGTTCTGTTCGATCTGTATCAGTCACCATGACATTGAGGCCCCCATCCCCATCTTCGGGTAGGGAAAGCCGAATACCTAAATTCCAGAGAATCTGGTTGCAGCTAATCCGGTTACAACAGGAAGAGTTTGAAACAGTTTGGAGGGCTCAGAAGAAGACAGGAAAATGTGTAAAAGTTTAGAACTTCCTAGAGACTTGGAGGGTTCAGAAAACAGGAAGAGGTGGGAATGTTTGGATCTTCCTAGAGACTTGTAGAATGGCTTTGACCAAAATGTTGATAGTGATATGAACAATGAGGTCCAGGCTGAGGGGGTCTCAAATGAAGATGAGGAGCTTGTTGGGAACTGGAGTAAAGGTCACTCTTGTTATGCAAATAGATTGCTGGCAGTTTGTCCCGCCCTAGAGAGCTGTAGAATTTAAACTTAAGAGAGATGATTTACGGTATCTGGCACAAGAAATTTCTAAGTGGCCAAGCATTCAAGAGAAAGCAGAACATAAAAGTTTGAAAAATGTGCAGCCTGACAATGCAATAGAAAAGAAAACCCCATTTTCTGGGAAGAAATTCAAGCCAGCAGTAGAAATTTGCATAAGTAACAAGGAAGCAAATGCTAATTCTTGAGATAAAAGGAAAAATGACTCCAGGGTATGTCCTAGGCTTCTGGGCCTGTGATGGGAGGGGCTGCCACTAAGGGTAAAATGATTTCCTGAGCTAGGTCTAGGGCTTCTCTGCTGTGTGAAGCCTGAGAGTCAGTGCCCTGCACCCCAGCTGCTTCAGCTGTGGCTAAAAAGATCCAAGGTGCATCTCAGACCATTGCTTCAGAGGGTGCAAACCCCAAGCCTTTGCAGCTTACACGTGTCATCAGTCCTGCAAGTGCACAGAATTCAAGAATTGAGGTTTGGGAACCTCTGCCTAGATTTCAGAGGATGTATGGAAATACCTGGATGTCCAGGAAGGAGTTTGCTCCAGGGACACTCTTCATGGAGAACCTCTTCTTGGACATTGTGGAAGGGAAATGTGGGGTCAGAACCTCCACACAGAGTCTCCACTGGGGCACAACCTAATAGAGCTGTGAGAAGAGGGCCACCCCAGAATGGTAGATCCATCAACAACTTGCACCATGTTCCTGGAAAAGCTGCAGACACTCAATGCAGCAGGAGGGAGGCTGTACCTTGCAAAACCACAGGGCCAGAGCTGAATAAGGTCATGTGAGTCCACCTCTTGTGTCAGCCTGCCCTGGATGTGATAAATGCAGTCAAAGGAAATAATTTTGAAACTTTAAGTTTTAATGACTGCCCTATTAGATTTTGAACTTACACAGGGCCTGTAGCTCCTTTGTTTTGGCCAGTTTTTCCCATTTGGAACATATGTATTTACCCAATGCCTGTTCCATCATTGTATCTAGGACATAACTAACTTGCTTTTGATTTTATGGACTTATAGGCAGAAGGGACTTGCCTTGTCTTAGATAAGATTTGGACTTGGACTTTTGAGTTAATGCTGGAATGAGTTAAGACTTTGAGGGACAGTTGGAAAGGCATGTTTGTATTTTGAAATGTGAGGACATGAGATTTGGGAGGGGCAAGGGTGGAATAATACGGTTAGTCTGTGTTCCCACCCAAATCTCATTTTGAATTGTAGTTCCTATAATCCAAACGTGTTGTAGGAGGCACCTGGTGGGAGGTAATTGAATCATGGGAGTGGTTACCCTTATGCTGTTTTTATGATAGTGAATGAGTTCTTGTGAGATCTGATGGTTTTATAAGGGGCTTTTCCCTCGCTTCAATGGTTCTTCTCCTTCCTGCCACCATGTGAAGAAGGATCTGTTTGCTTCCCCTTCCATCATAATTGTAATTTTACTGAGGCTTACCCAGCCATGCTGAACTGTGCATTTCCTTCCTTTTTAAATTACCCATTCTCAGCTATATCTTTATTAGCAATATAAGAACAGACTAATACAAGCTATTATTAAAAAAAATAAAATAACAGATGCTGGTGAGGTTGTGGAGAAAAAGGAACACTTATACACTGTTGGTGGGAGTGTAAATTAGTTCCAACATTATGGAAGATGGTATGGAGATTTCTCAGATACCTAAAAATAGACATAACATTTGATCTATCAAACCCATTACTGGGTATTTATCCAAAGGAGCAATAAATTATTCTATTATAAAGACACATGCATGCCAATGTTCATTACAGCACTATTCACAATAGCAAAAACATAGAATCAACCTATTGTTCATTAATGACAGACAGTATTAAGAAATGTGGTATATATACACAATGGAATACTATGTAGCCATAAAAATTAACAAGACTGTGTCTATCACAGGGACATGAATGGAGCTGGCAATCATTGTTCTTAGCAAACCAACACAGAAACAGAAAACCAAAAGCACCTGTTGTCACTTATAAGTGAGATCTAAATGATAAGAACACATGGAAACACAGAGGGGAATAACATACACTGATGCCTATCATTGGTTGGAGGATGGGAGGAGGAAGATGAAGAAAAATAACTAATGGGTACTAGGTTTAATACATAGATGATGAAATAATTTGTAAACAAACCCACATGACACACATTTACTTGTGTAACAGACCTTCATGTGAACTTAAAATAAGGTTACAAAAGAATTATACATTAGAAAAAGATCTTAGGGATCCAAGATGACCAAATAGGAATGGCTATGGAGTGCAGTTCCCAGCAAGAACACAGAGGGTGAGTGATCACCACATTTCCAAATGAATTTTTACTGCCCACAGACCAGAAGATTCCAGGGCAGAAAAATGCCACAAGTCTCCACCACAGCTGTTTCAGCCGCCACAGTGGGTATCCACACAAAAATTCACAGAAATCTGGGCAGCTATTTCAACTGGCATCTGGAACGCCTGGGAGACACAGTCATCCATTCAACTGAAGAAAAGGGGGCTAAAATAGGGAGCCAGGTGATCTGGCTTGGAGGGTCCCACCCCCATAAAGACCAGCAAACTGAAATGCTCTCGATTGAGAGTTTCACAGCAAACACAGCTGGACCCAGGATGGTTCAGCTCTGTGGGGGGGAAGGGCATCTGCCATTACTGAGGCAGTCCACCACTACAAAGGCAGTCCACCATTACTGAGGCAGTTCACCATTACTGAGGCAGTCCACCATTATCCAGGCAATCTGCCATTACCGAGGCAGTCTGCCATTACAGAGACAGTCTGCCATTACTGAGGCAGACTGCCATTACTGAGGCAGTTCTAACTATACTTCTATAAACAAAACCACAAGGAAGTTCACACAGCAGCTGGGCAGAGACTATGGCAGCTCAGCAACACCTCTGCTGGCAGATTGTGACTAGGCTACCTCCTTGCTGGGCAGAGTATCTCTGAAAAAAGGCAGCAGCGCTTCATGAGCTTATAAATAAAGCCCCACTTTCCCAGCAGAGAGCACTTGGGGAAAAAAAAAAAGCGGTTATGAGTTCCGCTGCAATAGACATAAACATACCTGCCCAGCAGCTCTGAATGGAACAATGGAGCTCACAGATCAGCACTTGAGCTCCTATAAGGGACAGACTGTCTCCTCAAGCAGCTCTCCAACTCTCCTATATCCAAAGAGACATCTCATAAACGAGAACTCAGGCTGACATCTGAGGGTAGCCTTCTGGGACAAAGATAACAGAAGAAGAAACTGACAGCAACCCTTACTGTTCTGCAGCCACCACAGGTGATCCCCAGGCAAGCAGGGTCTGGAGTGGATCTCCAGCAGTCCTACAGCAGAGGGGCCTGACTGTTAGAAGGAAAACTAAAAAACAGAAATAGTTTCAACATCAACAAAAATGACATCCACTCAGAGACCCCACCCAAAAATAACCAACTACAAAGACCACAGGTAGATAAATCCAGAAAGATGGGAAGAAATAAGCACGAAAATGATAAAAACACCCAAACCCAGAAAGCCTCTCCTCCTACAAGGAATCACAACTCGTCACCAGCAAGGGAACAAAGCTGGATGGAGAATGAGTGTGATGAATTGACAGAAACAGGCTTCAGAAAGTGAGTAATAGCAAACTTCTCTGAGCTAAAAGAACATGTTCTAACCCAATGCAAAGAAACTAAGAACCATGAAAAAAGGTTTGACAAAATGCTAATGAGAATAAAAAGCTTAGAGGGGAATATAAATAAATTGATGGAGCTGAAAAACACAACGTGAGAAGTTCATGAAGCATACACACGTTTCAATAGCCAAATCGATCAAGCAGAAGAAAGGATACTGGAGATTGAAGATCAACTCAATGAAATAAAATGAGAAGGCAGGATTAGAGAAAAAAGAGTAAAAATAAATGAACAAAGCCTCCAAGAAATATGGGATTATGTGAAAAGACCCAATCTACATTTGATAGGTGTGCCTGAATGTGACAGAGACAATGAATCCAAGCTGGAAAACATTCTTCAGGATATTATCCAGAAGAATGTCCCCAACCTAGCAAGGCAGGCCAATATTCAAGTCCAGGAAATACAGAGAACACCACAAATATGTTCCTCAAGAAGAGCAACCCCAAGGCACATTATCATCAGATTCACCAGGGTTCAAATGAAGAAAAAAAATGCTAAGGGCATCCAGAAAGTAAGATCAGGTTATGCACAAAGTGGGGAAGACCATCAGACTCACAGCAGAAACTCTACAAGCCAGAAGAGAGTGGGGGTTAATATTCAACATCCTTAAAGAAAAGAACTTTCAACCTAGAATTTCATATCCAGCCAAACTAATCTTCATAAGGGAAGGAGAAATAAAATCTTTTACAAACAAGCAATTGCTGAGAGATTTCATCACCACCAGGCCTGCCTTATAAGAGCTTCTGAAAGAAGCACTAAACATAGAAAGGAACAACCAGTACCAGTTAATTCAAAAACATATGAAATGGTAAAGACCATCGACACAATGAAGAAACTGCATCAACTAATGGATGAAGCAACCAACTAGCATCAAAATGGCAGGATCGAATTCACACGTAACAATATTAACCTTAAATGTATAATGGGCTAAATGGCCCAATCAAAAGACACAGACTGGCAAATTGGATTAAAAAGCCAAAACCCATCAGTGTGAGGTATCCAGGAAACCCATCTCACATGCAAGGATACACATAGGCTCAAAATAAAGGGATGGAGGAAAATTTTACTAAGCAAATGGTGAGCAAACAAAACAAAACAAAACAACAACAACAAAAAAACACAGGAGTTGCTATCCTAGTCTCTGATAAAATAGGCTTTAAACCAACAAATATCAAAAGAGACAAAGAGTGCATTACATAATGGTAAAAGGATCAATGCAACAAGAAGATCTAAGCATCCTAAATATATACGGGCCCAATACAGGAGCACCCAGATACATAAAGCAAGTTCTTAACTGCAGTCAATGTTATACTAACTTTATGTTGGACATTAGATAACCAAAACTGTTAGTGTTTGCCATTCTAAAGTGGAATAGTACAAAATCTCAAAATAAATTTAGACCATAAGAATGGCATGGATAGATCAATAGATTGATAGATTAGATAGACAGATTAATTTAAGGCAGAGAAACGAAGAGATCAATGTTAATACTTTAGTGACAATCAAGTTTTATCTATCTTTAAATGATCTTATCTTGGAAAAAAAGGCTTTGATCAACAAATAGTATCTGTCAGTTCATTCTATATTAATTATTTAATATTTTCAGTCATTATAACTGAGAGGCAAATTGTTTTTCAAAACCTCTTATTTTGGTCTTTTTATTATGACTCTTCAGAAACTTATAAGTAACTCTTAAACGACTACATTAAAAACAAACACTAATACATCAAGCACACTAAATACAGTATATAATAAGGTATTATCATAAGTGTTAGTTACCACAGTGCAAAGATGAGCTTGCCCTAGAAATTCAAAGCAAAACTATTTGTAATCAATTAGGGATAGAGTAATGACACTTCACAAGAAAGACATCGCTTCATATGGCTTATTTTTTAGGCATATATAACGTGTAGCAGGCACACAATATATTGAGTATAAATTTGTATTAGCTTTACCTTGCCAATATGTTACATGCTGGTATTATCATGTCATAAGCATTAGAAAGGACAAAAATTACAAGAAAATCTCTTTCAATTTTTAAAAGGAGCCACAACAAGTTAACATAATTTCTTTAAAGTTGTAATTGCACTTGTAGTAAGAAACTGTCAGTTGATTGTTTCTATAGTAGAATTAATATATATTAGTATATATGCTATAGTAGAATATATGCATGTGTGTTTAGATATATAAACAGAGAATAAGATGTATATAGAGTATATAAAACGTTTTATGTCATAATATGTCTAGTAGCTTATTCTTGTAAATCAGAAATTTGGAGGATATAATAGGAGTGATTCACATATCTTATTCAAAATGCATGAATTTATTGATTTTCTATTTACACAAACACAAAATGCCATCTTTTTAAAACAAATTAAGTCCAGGAACAAGGTCTCACTTATACAATTATATGATAACATTTAGCGATTTTAAAAATTTTTTAAATTTTTGTGGCTACATAGTGTACATATTTATGGGGTACATGAATTGTTTTGACAAAGACATGCAATCTCTTATAATCACATCATGGAGAATGGGCTATCCATCCCCTTAACCATTTATTTATTTGTATTACAAACAATCCAATCATACTCTTTAGTTATTTTTAAATGTACTATTATGTTATTATTGACTGTAGTCCCTTGTGCTATTCAAATTCTAAGTTTTAGTCATTCTTTCTACTAGCAATTCTTAAATAGAGAATATCTTTATGAGTGGAATATAGAACAGTGATTGATTATAACATTAAAAAAATGAAAACAAATAGAAAAATATATATTATAAGATATACATTGAATTTGTTTTACAATAAGATCAGAGATAAATATTATTTTATTTCATGGGGCCCAGTGGCTCACACCTATAATCCTAGCACTTTGGGAGGCCGAGGCAGGCAGATCATCAGGTCAGAAGATCAAGACTATCCTTGCTAACATGGTGAAATTCCATCTCTACTAAAAATACCAAAAAATTTCCTGGGCATGGTGGCACACGTCTGCACACCCAGCTACTGGGAAAGCTAAGGCAAGAGAATCCCTTGAACACAGGAGGCAGAGGTTGCAGTAAGCCAAGATCATGCCACTGCACTCCAGGCTGGGCGACAGAGTAAGACTCTGTCTTGGAAAAAAAAAAAGTATCTGTAAAAGTATAAATGAGGCTGGGCATGGTGACACACCTGTAATCCCAGCATTTGGGGAGGCTGAAGCAGGAGGGTCACTTGAACCCAGGAGTTTAAGACCAATCTGGGCAACATAGTGAGATCCTATCTCTATGAAAATAAAAAAAAATTAGCCAGGTGGGGTAGCACATGTCTTTAGTCCTAGTTATTTGGGAGGGTGAGGTGGGAGGATCGCCTGAGCCTTGCAGGTCTAGACTGAGGCTGCGGGACATGCTTGTGCCACTGCACTCCACATCTGGGCCACAGAGCAAGACACTATCTGAAAAAATATATATGTATATTTCTGTGTGTGTGTGTTTAAAACCAGCTCTATTTCTGCTGCTGTATGTTAGTCAAATGTTAGTTGATTGCATGTGCTGTAATTCTTCGTTGCTAAATTTCCGAAAGTATAAAATATAATACTTTTGCATATACAAAATTATTCAAAAGTTATTTATTAGATATAAAACAATAAAAAATTATATTTTACTAAGAACATGTTGAGCATATAATATAAAGGCTCCAGGCTTGGCACTGAAAGAATTAAGGATTACTAAATTACAATTTCTTCACACATATACAAATGTTGATCAAATAATATATACATATTTGAACTCTCAGACTATAATAAACATGACTGCCCAGGGAGAAAATATTTCTGGCTGGGAGATATCTGGAAAGTCTCCAAAGAAGTTACATTTGAACTAAGTCATTTATCAATATTGCTGCTGCTTTGCTTTCATCCAGGGATACCCTGGTTAAAATGATCATTATTTATATTTTTAAATTCTTGTTTAATGAGATTAAATTTCATCATAACATAGGCAAAGATCACACATCAACACATATGTATAGTCCATTGGACATATTACTATGTTGAGGAATATAATCAATCCAAAGGACAAATGTGACCTTGAATCAGTGATTCTTATCTGAAACTGCAAAACATTATTTTCTGTATTCCCCCTCCCACCAATTTCATGAATTTCGTAGTAGACTAACCTCACCCAGTCTTCCCTTAGGACCCTTTTATTGCTGATTAAACATCTTCATATTAGAGGGTCACTTTTTTCCCCCAAAAACTAAGTCTCTCTGTGACACCCAGGCTGGAGTGCAATGGTGCGATCTCTGCTCCCTGCAACCTCCGTCTCCCAGGTTCAAGCAATGCTCCTGCCTCAGCTTCCCAAGTTGCTGGGATTACAGGCACCTGCCACTATGCCCAGCTAATTTTTTTTTTTATTGTGTTTTAGCCGAGACAGGGTTTCATTGTTTTGCCCAGGCTGGTCTTGAACTCAGGCAATCTACCCGCCTCCGCCTCCTAAAGTGCTAAGATCACAGGTGTGAGCCACTGCACTCGGCCTTGAGGCTCACTTTCTATTCTTTAGAAACAACTCATCATATAATCTCATTGGTGACTTTATCAGTATAGCTTCTTTTCTGTCAACAAACAAAATAAAACAAAAAACATGTTCCCGACATTTTGCATTTTCCCAATCCCAACATCTTTTTCATTCTTCTTGGAATATTTTTTCCCAATTGCTAATATCAGCAAGGTCTCTGGGCATCTTGTTAATCGTTGCTGCTCCTGCTCTGTGTCTGGAGTTCATTCTTACATTCTACCCACAGAGGAATCTAGAAATTATATTTTTGTCATGTTTTATAGAATTAATTAAACACATGTAAATAAAATGCAGCTTATGATGATAATTCAAATTGATAAGTTCTGTCATAATTCAACCATTTCTTATTATTTATTTATTTATTTATTTGAGAGGGAGTCTTGCTCTGTCTCTCAAGGTGAAGTGCAGTGGCACCATCTAGGCTCACTGCAACCCCCACCTCCTCGGTTCAAATGATTCTCCTGCCTCCACCTCCTGAATAGCTGAGAGTACACACACCTGCCACCATTCCTGGCTAATGTTTATATTTTTATTAGAGGCAGGGTTTCACCATGCTGTCCAGGCTGGTCTTGAACTCTTGACCTCACATGACCTGCCTGTCTCGAGTAACGTTTTAACCTTTGAAAAATTTGTCTAACCTCATACAATTCCAGAAGATTTGAAACTGTCAAGGAATTATAGTAATATACTAAGAATTTGTAAAGGCCCTGAAGGCAAAAGTGAGATCATTTAAACGTGTGTTACATTACTTTCAGATACCACTCCACCCAGATATAAAATTGGAGATTGAAAAGAGAAATAAACATTATGTACACCAATATTTCAAATTTATATTTGATATGGTATTTCATGCATGTGTATATATCTGTGTCTGACATTTTATTAGATTAAGTGATTTACTGAAACGTAACAAATAAAAAAGATAAGAAAATGTAAAGAAGAATCATGGTTTTCCCTATACTAATCATGCTGTTACCTTTGTGATACTTAACATATGGGTAAATATTTTGAATTCTAATACATTTCAATTTAAAACATTTGGAAATATGTAAACTTTGTATTTGATCTTATTAATCAGAATGAAATGTTTTAAAAGTTGATTTCATTGCATACTTTAACTCCAATATTTTCATTCATTACATAGATATGATTTCTCCTTGAGCTAAAATTCAAAAATAGTTAAAAATTATGTTGAAAAAGACAAAGAAATTATATATAAAGGTTAGCTTTGACACTGATGGTATTTCTGTGGATATTTCAATGGCATGGATCAAAGAACTTTTTACATTAAAAATGAAAAAATTCAGCTTTAAAAAAAGGACAAAGTTACTTTCAATATGTTATATTTTTATATATTTTAATATCATATTAAATTGGAGAATCAGATTGAAAGTAGTCCTTAGTAACTAGTGACACAAACAGATAGCATTATTTAACAACTCTGAGAAAATGAAATATTACAGAAATATATGATTTGCTCCTTTCACTATTCCTTCCATTTCACATTAAGTCAGACAGGTTCAATTATGTAACTCTCACACAATGACTTAATTTTTTTAATTGGTTAACTCATATATTTTATTCTATAAAATAGTGTTGTAAGTAATATTAAGTGCATAGACATCCTTGATTCTTTTCAAAATGTGCCTTCCTTCCCTAAAAGAGACTATTTTATTTTTGCGTATGTTTTAACAGCAGTGTTTATAAAATAAGAATTGTTTTTGTCTTGTGAAATTAGTTAGGGAGGCTGTACACAGTTAAATACTGTCTAGTGCATGATTAACACAACCTTTGAGATTAACCTGGATATCACTGATTGGTTTTACATGTTTACCTTTTACTGTGCTTTATACTTGAAATGTCTGTTTTTCTGAGCAATAGTCAGTGGTACATGGAAATTGCAGTGATACAAACAAACGCAATTTAAAATACACGCCTTATTATGAAATACTTATCTACTTTTGTGCTGCTACTTCAACCAAATTGTATGCTTCATGATCCACTGAACATTTCTTGTGACTGCCCTGCTTTGGGTCAGACCATTTTCAGCCTCAGAGCAACTTGTCTCTGTTTATCTATGTCTTCCTTCTACCGAATAGGTCATGTCAAATGTCACTGTTCACAAGGACTTCCTTTATAAAAATGGTTTTCTTGCATCTGAGATTCTGTAAACGTTTGTCCTACATTTCTCACCACTATCATGTGGTAATTTTCTAATGTTATAACAGGTCTACTAAATATTAACTCTCATTTGTGCCCATTTTCTACCAACCTACTGTATTTATTTAACAACAAAATAATTTCAAATTAGCCATCAATGCCTCAAAATCTCTCTATACTGCTTACATAACCACCTTCCATCTTATATCCTACTTCAAAGAAAAAATGAAAAAGATCAAAATGAAACTCCCTGCAGATATACAAATCCATGTGTGCCCACATTTATTCTCCATTCATCCTTCCTCTTAAAGTTCTTCAAATATTTTTTATACTCCAAATTTTTAATTGATTTTGCAGATATCACGTTTTCTTTTCATGCTACTATATTATCCTAAATTTTTTTATTTGTTTGCAAGTGATATTTGATTATTTATCTGTAACTTTGTTATATTGTAAACAAAATTAGAATGTATAAGTGAAGCACAAATAAGAAAAGCAAAATATACTATAGATTGAGAATTCTGAACATGTGTTATCTATCTTTCCAGCTCATTTTCTATAGAGATAGACAGACAGAATTTTAAATTAAACTATTAATATATTTTGCAAACTTTCTACATATGTATATTATACATGTTTGATGGTACAAATTGTTGTATTTCACAATTGGTTTTTCATCATCTAATTGTTTCTTCCCTTTTTTGAGAATCTTTCTGGGTCAATTATTTTATTTTATTTTGGGTTCTTGACCTCCTTTACTTTATTGGTTTCTCTCCCAATATCCCAAGGGTTTTTCAACCTAAAACTAAGAAAATAAATATTCTCCCCCATTTATTTTTTTCTTATATCTTTGGCCTTGGTCTCATTATTAAATTTATTCTGAGACCTCTCCATATGTCTTGAATGCTCTTTTTCAGATCTTGCTAGTTTCTCAGTAGACTTCAGTTTCTATTACCAAAATTCCTGTGAAAGTATTCTTTTAAATGTCAACAATCACTCTTCAAGTGAAACTATAATTTATTTTTCATCCACTTATATGATTTTTTCTCATCTAGAACAGTCCATGCACTGGCCACTATTTTCTCCTTGAAACTACATTATTGATCACTGTTTTAGGGTATTCTACAGAAACATAAGTAATAGGTGTATGGATATAGATAAAGACATATAACTATAGTAAGAGGACAGGTCCTTAGGTAGCATTGGCTGATCCAGCTCTCTTCTTATAGTTCTCAGGACAACTGTGGAATATACTAAGAGTGTAGTGTCCTGAGATATGAAGGAACTGTCCAAAAACAATCCATACCATATCCTTATCCCTTACAGAACAGGATATTCTGCAAAGCTTGAGCTCAGCAATTCAAGTTGTGTTCAGGTTATAAAAACTCAGGGCAGAGTACACTCAGAGTTCATTCACTGTGGTATTATGAAGGATTTGCACAGACCAGATTCCGGGTACTCTTGACAGCTTTCCAGATCCTCGAGGGACTGGCTCACCATGAACCCAAGTCTTCTGTTTATTCTTGTGGCCTATCTGTGAGTAGTAAATCTGCTTTGCCTACTTTTACAAATGTTCTGTTTCACGGAGCTCATACAAAATGATAGAGGTATTGGGACCTTTTTTTGCTCCTTACAGATTTCCTCATAGTGTTAGGACTGCTGTGGCAGCTAGGTTTACTCTAAGCCCATGCCAGATGTAGAAGTCAAACTCTGCTGAGTGACAGAGAGGGATTAAGATAGAAATATAATGGAGACATCTCTCTGTCTATATATATATACATCTATACCTTCCCCCCTCCCCATATAATGTGTGTGTGTGTAGGTGGGTGGGTCAGTGGCTGTGTACAGACATACATATAGAGGTTTATTTTAAGAAATTGGCTCAAGTGATTGTGGACGTTTGCTTTGTAGGGCCAACCCATAGGCTGAAAATACAAGGAACAAATGATGTTGAAGTTTTGAGACTGAAATTCACACACAGGTCAGGCAGGATGGAAATACAGGCAGCGTGTCGATGTTTGGAGTGTTATAACAGAATTCCTTCTTCAGAAATCCTCAGTCTTTGCTCTTGAGGCTTTTAACTGATTGAGATCTGCACACATTGTTAACAGTATATGCCTTACCTAAAGTCTACCAATTGTAAATGTGAGTCATATCTAAAAAAATACCTTTAAACTATATCTAAACAGGTGTTTCACCAAACAACTGGGTATCATAGCCTAGCCAAGTTAGCACATAAAATTAATCGTTACAGCCAGTAACAGATTTTCTCTTCTACCTCTGTAGCTTTCTAACTTTTCATTGGTTCTGTTTCCTAAATGTTTCTCTTTAACACTTATTTAATCCTATTTCTTCCCTTTCTTTTAATTGCAATTATTATCTCTACAAATCACTTCTATTCACATGTGTCAAGTATAATCATGCCAAAAAGTTGACATATATTTTTCTTCAACTATGATTAGTTCTTTAAACACTATATCAACATATATTTAACTGAGTACAGGCAAGATCAATGTTTATGTACCACAGATTATTATGAGTTAAATAGTTCTAAGTCAGGTACTATTTTGTCATTATTCAGTAATATCCTACTGGTTTTCCTGTTTCTACTAACTCAAAAGATAGTCTTAAAAATCTAATACTTTACACAAAATATTTCAAGGTTTTCTAGATTTTCTATCCTATATTAACCTCTAGTTTAATAATCAAATGGCAACTAGAGACTCTACTACTTGTCTTCATTTTATCTTCAGTTACATCTCCAGCCCATCATACAAGAAACATCACTCGTGAACTTGCTGTGTAAAGTTAGGTCTTGTTTCTTCATGCAAGCTATTTGTATGTTATTTATTAAAAATAATTGTTGATCAAATACCAAGTGTCAGTCACTTTTTGGTTCCCCCACAATCTTGCCCGTCAGTGGACTTAGTCACATAGTTTAATAATTCATAGCCAGTTCTAAAAAGAAACAAAGACCACCTGGCAATCATTAAATATTGAAATCTACTATATTTAGATCTCTTTATAGTTGTTTAAATAATATAATGTTAGGAATAAGAAGTGAACAATACTAAAAAATGTTGTGACTAAAGTCTGCTTTTTTTTCTTTTCTGTATAAAATATTACTCTGAGAATGTTAATCTGAAATATAGTAAGGTGGACAATAGCAAAATGTTTAGTTTACATGTCACACAAATTGATGGCATTATGTTCCATTCTGAGGTTGAATTAAATTATATTTCAAGTTTGCCCACATAGGATTCCACTCATTGAGTTATTTAAAATTTACCAATTCTCATAGATCAAGGGGCCACAAATCAGAAGAGTAAAACAAGTCTTAAATATTAATAATTGTGTCAGAAAATCTTCACTACACAAGCTAAATTATGATTTTCAAATTGAATAAAGAATATTGCAGAATAGAAAACTGAAAACAAGTGAGCAAACTAATATCAACAAAGTTTAAAGATGTCTGTGAATTTAGAGTTATGAAATATAAGATACCCAGGCATTAACCGGATAAAGATAAAATGTTTTATTATATTTCTTACTCAACTTCTAGTTCAAAAATTATGGCCCCAGAGTCACCTTGATTGTTGGTGTTTAGATTTGAACACTAATATTTGTAATTCTTGTCAATTTTTTAAATGTTAAAACTGATTTAAATATTTTTAATTTAGTAATAATCCACTAATAGGGATGAAAGGGGAAGGCTTTTTACAAATTCAACTTAATTGGTATTTCAGTAGATTTTTGTGTGGTAAGAAGTTTTGACACAAACAGATGGAAAAACATTCCATGTTCATTATTAGAAAGAATCAATATCGAGAAAATGGTCGTACTGCCCAAAGTAATTTACAGATTCAACACTATCTCCATCCAGCTACCTATGTTCCTCTTCACAGAACTGGAAAAAACCACCTTTAACTTCATAGGGAACAAAAAAAGAGTCCACATAGCCAAGACAATCCTAAACAAAACGAACAAAGCTGGAGACATCACACTACCTGACTTCAAAGTATGCTACAAGACTTCAGTAATCAAAACAGCATGGTACTGGTACAAAACAGAGATATATGAATGGAACATAACAGAGACTCAGAGGAAATGCCACACATCTACAACCACCTGATCTTTGACAAACCCGACAAAAACAAGCAATAGGGAAAGGATTCCCTGCTTAATAAATGGTGTTGGGAAAACTGGCTAGCCATGTGCAGAAACTGGACCCCTTCCTGACACCTTACACTAAAATTAACTCCAGATGGATTAAAGACTTAAATATAAGACCTAACACCATAAAAACCCTAGCAGGAAACCTAGGCAAAACCATTCAGGACATAGGCATAGGCAAGGACTTCATGACTAAAATGACAAAAGCATTGGCAACAAAAGCCAAAATAGGCAATTGGATCTAATTAAACTTCAGAGCTTCTTACTATGCAGCCAAAAAAAAAAAAAAAACAAAGAGTTTGTGTCCTTTGTAGAAACGTGGATGAACCTGGAAACCATCATTCTCAGCAAACCGACACAAGAACAGAAAATCAAACACCACATGTTCTCACTCATAGGTGGGTGTTGAACAATGAGAACAGATGGACACAGGGAGGGGAGCATCACACACTGGGGTCTGTTGGGGTGAAATAGGGGAGGGACAGTAGGGAGTGGGGAGCTGGGGAGAGATAGCATGGGAAGAAATGCCAGATAGGTGATGGGGAAGAAGGCAGCAAATCACACTGCCATGTGTGTACCTATGCAACAATCTTGTATGTTCTTCACATGTACCCCAAAACCTAAAATGCAATTACAAAAAAAAAAGAAACAGTTATTAGAGTGAACTAGCAACCAACAGAATGGGAAAACATTTTTACAATCTACCCATCTAACAAAGGGCTAATATCCAGAATCTACAAAAAACTAAAACAGATTTACAAGAAAAAAACAAACAACGTCGTCAAAAAGTGGGCAAAGCATATGAAGAGCCACTTTTCAAAAGAAGACATTTATGTGCCCAACAAACATATGAAAAAATGTTCATCATCACTTGTCATTAGAGAAATGCAAATCAAAACCACATCGAGATACCATCTCACACCAGTTAGAATGACAATCTTTGAAAAATCTGGAGACAACAGATGCTGGAGAGCATGTGGAGAAATAGGAACACTTTTACACTGTTGGTGGGAGTGTAAATTAGTTGAACCATTGTGGAAGACTGTGTGGTGATTCCTCAAGGACCAACAAATGGAAATTCCATTTGACCCAGCAATCCCATTACTAGGTATATATCCAAATGACTATTATAAAGACACATGTACAGATATGTTCGTTGCAACTCTGTTTACAATAGCAAAGGCCTGGAACCAACCCAAATGCCCATCAATGATAGACTGGACAAGGAAAATGTGGCACATTTACACTATGGAATACTATGCAGCCATAAAAAACGATGAGTTTGTGTCCTTTGTAGGAACATAGATGAATCTAGAAACCATCATTCTCAGCAAACTGACAGAAGAACAGATAATCAAACACCACATGTTCTCACTTATAGATAGGTGTTGAACAATGAGAACACATGGACACGGGGAGGGGAGCATCACACACTTGGGTCTGTTGGGGGGAGATAGGGAAGGGACAATGGGGGTTAGGGAGGTTGGGGAGGGATAACATGGGGGAGAAATGCCAGATATAGGTGATGGGGGGATGGAGGCAGCAAAGCACATTGTCATGTGTGTATCTATGCAACAAGCCTGCATATTCTGCACATGTACTCCAGAACCTAAAGTGCATTAAAATATATAAATAAATAAATGAATAAAATATTACTTCTTTTAAAACATAATTTTATGTCTTTTTTCTCCCAATATGGTTTAAGATTTACAAAAAAAAACAAGAGTAGGAATGGTTTAGATAGATCTAATTGGATTACAAGTTAGCTGCCTTGATGAATTAGCAATGATACTGGACAGTGAATAAGGAATTTAGATACTATATTTCAAAACATTCTGTTTTTCTCCTGGGAATATTTGCAAATGAATGCTATCTTTATGTGTGTGTGTGTGTGTGTGTGTGTGTGTGTGTGTGTGTGTGTATGTTTTGCTTTTTGTTTTTGTTTTTAAATTATACTTTAAGTTCTGGGGTATATGTGCAGATATTGCAGGATTGTTACATAGGTATACAGTTGCCATGGTTGTTTGCTTCCTCCATCCCCAACCCCTTCACCTACATTAGGCATTTCTCCCTCCCCAACCTCCCCACTCGCTGCTATTGTTCCCCTAGACCCCCATCCCCCCACAGAACCTGGTGTGTGATGTTGTCCCCCCTGTGTTCATGTGTTCTCATTGTTCAACACCCACTTATGAATGAGAACATGAGGTGTTTGGTTTTCTGTTCTTGTGTCAGTTTGCTGAGAATGATTGTTTCCAGATTCATCCATGTCCCTGCAAAGAACATGAACTCATCTGTTTTTATGGCTGCATTGTATTCCATTATGTATATGTGCCACATTTTCTTTTTCCAATCTATCCTTGATGGACATTTGTGTTGGTTACAAGTCTTTGCCACAGTGAACATACCTGTGCATGTGTCTTTGCAATTAAACAATATATAATCCTTTGGGTACATACCCAGTAATGGGATTGCTGGGTCAAATGGTATTTCTATTTCTAGATCCTTGAGGAATTGCCACGCTGTCTTCTACAATGGTTGTACTAATTTGCATTCCCACCAACAGTGTAAAAGGGTTGCTATTTCTCCACAACCTCTCCAGCATCTGTTGTCTCCAGATTTTTTAATGACCGCCATTCTAACTGGTGTGAGATGGTATCTCAATGTGGTTTTGATTTGCATTTCTCTAATGACCAGTGATGATGAACATTTTTGCATATGTTTGTTGGCCACTTAAATGTCTTATTTTGAGGAGTGGCTGTTCATATTCTTTGCCCAATTTTTGATGATGTTGTTTGTTTTTTTCTTGTAAATTTGTTTTAGTTCTTTGTAGATTCTGGATATTAGCCCTTTGTCAGATGGGTAGATTGCAAAAATTTTTTCCTATTCTGTTGGTTGCCAGTTCACTCTAATGATTATTTCTTTTGCTATACAGAAGCTCTGAAGTTTAATTAGATCCCTTTCATCTATTTTGGCTATTGTTGCCATTGCTTTTGTTGTTTTAATCATAAAGTCTTTGCCTATGCCTATGTCCTGAATGGTTTTGCCTAGGTTTCCTTCTAGGGTTTTTATGGTGTTAGGTCTTATGTTTAAATCTTTAATCCATCTGGAGTTAATTATTGTATAAGA